GGCTTTCCATGTCCAGATTATTCATGTGCGGGTCTGTGGGATCCTATCGGTGCTAGGGTTGAAGGAATGCAGGGGAAATCCGACGGGTCGGGGCAACCATATATTCAATCCGGATAGGTTCTCTTTCTTTTGATTCTGTCGCTCGTAATTCCTCCTCTAAACCAATATGTGGGGTGGCAGCAGGAGTATTAGGGAAACCCACCTATACCTATATCGGGCCACATATAATGTATATATAGATATATACTATTGGTTGCTAGGGTTGTTTGGGGGGGTGCCCCAATAGCCAGCAATCCCAGCAATGGGTCTGGTCACGACTTGTACTTGTACCCTGTCGAAGTCGGGATCCATGATACGCACCCGGCAGAGCATGTTCAGCGGCGTCTGCGAACGGTGCTGCAAGTCTTTCGGAACTTCGAAGTCGCCGGTTGTCGAATCGACCACCTGTCCGGCACTCGTCTCCACACAAGCCAGCTCGAGGAGGCTTCAAAGGTCTCCTCTGACGGTGTACTTGGGGTTGCCTTGTTGCAGGCACCACGAATACAATGCAATGCCCAACGAGCGAGCTGCCCAGAAATCAACCTAGTCATTCCTAGTAATACCTACCTGCCTATACCTACCTACCTATATACCCATCTGCATACTATATAATTAATATATGTGTATATATATATATATATGTATGTATGTATGTATGTATGTATATGTCTGTATACGTATGTATGTATGTATGTATGTATGTATACAATTATATCAACCCGCCCAGCCACCCTCCTGCTAGCGATTTTACATCCCCGGATTTGTAATTAATAAGAGTCCCATGTGTGCACACAGGTCGAACACCAGGGAACCATGCTTTATTGGGGGCCTAAGGAATACAGGGGCAACCCTTTCTAATTTAATTTCGAAATAGGGTCAAAGGCACCCGGAAATGCAATATAAACCGTACTTGAAGATCTCCTGGCAACCTTATCGCACATGCCCAGGAATTATGCTAGACCCTGAAGCCCCAAGCCCCTAAAGCCTAGATTCCTACGTACATATTTTCTAGCCCCATAGCTAGCGGTTAAGACCTGTGTACTGTGCCGAGGTTGCAAGGCCAATGGAGTGGCGTCATGCAGCGCTGGAAGAGGTTCTGCTCTTCCTCAGAGAGGAGCAGCAGGCTGGGCGGTTCAAGCCCCTTACCAGCCTCTCAAACTAGAGGTTTTTTCGCAGGGGCAATTCGGATTGCAAAATTAAGAGACGAATGCAACTGCAGTTCCGTTGGCTCGTGTGTGTCACACACAGCTCGACGTGAAGTTAGGGACGGAGTAAAAGCTGCTTGTTTTTCGGGGTTCGGGGTTGGAATTCTGCTGTTTTCCCAGGCAAACAGCAGCGTGACTCTAGCGTGATGCTGGCGTGATGTTGGCGTGACTCCCCACGCCCCTTTATTGTAGATTGTCTTTGCTGCTCTAGAACCACCACCCCGCAAGCGTGATGCCAGCGTGACTCTGGTGTGGGGCTGGCAGGGGCCCTGGAATCTATGCTGTATACGAGGCAGACGGCCTCAATTCTATGATGCTGCAGAGGGCCGGATTCTATGCAAGTGAGCACCGGTCTGTTGCAATATCCGGTTTGGGGTTCCTGTATAATCTGTCATCCTCCACATGATGCTACTTCTGGTCTCGTGTGCTGAAGCGCAGATATGAATCGGCAGGTTTTCCTTCAAGGATGCTGCTAGCTGGTCCTGGCTTGAGTGCATGCCTGGAATTTCATGAGATCTTGGAGCCTTTACCCACACGGGCTTTACATTACTTACACGATACCCCTCCCAAGCATATCATGGTATCCGCAAATGTCGAAGCAGCCCTCGCAAGAGCTGCCAAGCTTCGGGCGAGCATAGGCAGCAAAGAAAGTTCCTTGGCATGTCGTTACCACATCGAGTCAACACAGATCATGCTGATTAGGAAGTCCAAGCAATGTTCAATCGAATTCCTGATCCCAGGTGCAAAACAAAGCAGCCCCCAAAGACGAAGCCGATCCTCGCCAACGAAGCCTATCTCATCATGCACTTCTCAATCAAGCCTTGAAAGCACGCCTGCAAGAGTGAAGACGGAGATAGCTGCTGTGAAGCACGAGAAGACTGGGACAGTGAAGAAGCGCCGAAGACATAAGAGCTGTCCCAGTGCAAAGAAAGCTTCGCTGTGCCCTGAAGAAGACATGGAAGCTACCCAGCCTCATCAGCTTTTTTTGCTAGGTAGTATGAACGAAATATTAATATTAATATTTATTATAGGGTATAACCATATATAATAAGTACACACACATACCTGCTGCTCAGGCTATGGACCCGTCTCGCCTGGAGACGCAGACTTTCGAGGATGACCAGGCTCTCCGTTCAAAGATCGAACTCTGCTTTAGTTGGATTGTGGGGTTAGGAAATTACTTGTTCTCGGATCCCCTATCCCTCTAGTTCCCTGGATCTTGAAACCCGATTCCTGTGATGGATATGGCTTTAAAACACTTCTAGAGGTTTTCAGGTTCCGGATCCATGGTTTATAATGGTTGGAAGGGCTTCAGATTATTTCAAAGGCGGGGTTTGGAGCAAGAATCAGTGCAATACAGGGATGATAGCTTATAAGGGTAG